CTATACAGGAAGATGATCACCAGTGATTGTCCATCAACTGGACTGCACTAAATGACCACATGCTTATTCCCAGCCCATGAGTGGTGCCAATACGCCTCAATTTAAAGCAGACACAAGTGGCTAGGAAAATGTATGCAAATATGTTGAACAGCAGCTTTTAAAGTGGTAATTGGTTCAATTTCTGATCATCCGACTGCACAGTTACAAACAATCTTTTTAAGTGGTCATGTCACCACAGCTGCAACCTGCCCTCTACATAATAGCTCCTTATTACAGAGCACTCACACATAAAATGAATTATCACTATCTGCTTCCCTCATTCTCCTAAGGGATGCTAACCATGTCAAATAAAAATGCTTTGCTTAAAGGGATAAAAATGGCAATCAGAAAAAGATTTTGCATGTGTTAGAAAGCATAGAACTCCTAAAGATGGTATAATCCCTTACTATATGGAAATAGGAACTTGTTCAGAAAACATATTTCTATGTTTGGATGTAAATCAAAATGATTATATATAATAAGACTGATGTAAAATTTTTTTGCTCATTAATACTGAAAAAAATTCACTGCATTTAATAGGCATGAACGTTTTAAATCAGCACATTTTAAAGTTTGAAAAGCTTCCAAACCCTCCTCCTCCACGCCCCCAATTTCCCCTTCTAGTTTGTTGACTCTGCATCCCACTCTGAGGCACTGAGATATAAGATGAGCCTTAGGTTCCTCACCCAGACCTAGATCCCTGGCAGTTTGGGGTCAGAACTGCTTGGTAGTCAGACACCTATGGATTTTATTGACTCTGTGTTGGCTACAAAGGTGAATCTGCAAAACACATCTCCTCCTCCTAAGAATCCCTAATAATTCCACACAGCTAATACTGATGTTAACATCAGTTCCAAATGTGATCTTTAAAATAAAACTTTGACTTCGGGGAGCACATTTTGGTTTTCATTTTTATTAGGTTAGCAGAAAAATAATGGAGCAGGAAGTTCTGTTTCAAAACTCTGAGATTAATCCTATTTATTTAATCATGGGTCTGTCTTATTTCAATCATATTCAAATTTTCATACTGAGAGTAAACATCAAAACAAAATGGAGCACAGCATCTAGCTAGTAATTGGATAATACACCCTCCAAAGCCAAAGTTCTGCATAAAATACACCAAAGAACCACAAAAGTTAGTTACAAAATAAATCTTATCAACCAGTTAGCAACGCCCCAATGGCAGCTCCCACTCAGACCTCAAGTCACTTGCAAGATGGAAGCAGCAGACAGTAAATGAAGCAGTTTGGCTTTGAAAGCGCCTCAGCTGGCAAAGCACTGAGCACTGCAGACCCTGGGAGTTCAGTGATGTGCTGAAATGCCTGTTGGAGGGATACCAATGAACCACCTGAGACCAAGCTGCCTGCAGCTTTGGAATGTGTTAACTTGTGGAACAGCCAGAGTAAGTAGCAGTACTTAGTTTCCAACTCTGACTTGGAGGGAAAATCTTCACTAGTAAAAATTTTGAAACCTATTCTTGGGTAATGTCAAAGGTGAAAATTAAGTAATCACATTTAAATCAAAAGTTGTTGTTCATCAAGACTTTGCTTCAGTTAATAAATGTTCAACTATTTTTTTTCCTTAGTCCTATTCTACATTTTTCTCTTTTTCTCTTACTATGTTTTCTAGGCTTTTATTTTAAAATTTAGTCTCATGAAAACTTATGGATAAGGTATAAAAACGTTATTCCATTTTACTGACACAGTGTAATTTCTGAGGGCAACATTTCACATAAACGTCACAAAGTTCATAAGCAATATGAGAACTCATTTGAATAGTTTATTACATCCTTGATTTGGTATAAATAAAACTGATACATTCTACTGTTTTCATCCCTGTCATGCAATTCCAATATTCATTGCTGCAATAAATTAGGTCTTATAAACAACGAAACATCATAAAAAAAAATTCAAGAGATGCTGTAAATAGGAAACAAAAAGGAAATTATCTAGTGCAATCTTTTTGAGTGCAAACCCCTTGTAACATGTTGCAACCAGCCAGTTAATAATTGCTTTGTAAATTTGAAATGAAGCAGAGGGGATAAAACTAACAAACAAGTCATAAAGTACAATTGTTACTTGTTTGGAATGATTATGATTCCCTGGAGGGAAGAGGGGCACAAGAAAGCTGGTTAATGTTCAAGGATCGTTGTCTCCAAGCTCAGGAGTGATGCATCATAATGAAGAGGAAGTCAGGCAAAAATGACAGGAGGCTCACACGAATAAACAAGATGCTCCTGGACAAACTCGAACACAAAATGGAAGCCAACAGAGGGTGACTGCAAGAACAGGCAGCCTGAGAGGAATACAGAGAGATTGTCCAAGCAGCCAGGGACCAGGTTAGGAAAGCCAAAGCCCTGACAGAATTAAAACTGGACAGGGATGATGAGGGCAACAGGAAAAGTACATCAGTGATAAAGGAAAGACTAGGGAAAATGTGGGCCCTCTCTGTAAGGAAACAGGAGACCTGGTTACCCCGGACATGAAGAAGGTTGAGGTAATTAATGACTTCTTTGTCTTGGTTTTCACCAACAAGTGTTCCAGCCACACAGCCCAGGTCACACAAGGCAAAGGCAGGGACTGGGAAAACGAAGAACCACCGACTGTAGGAGAAGATCTGCTTTGAGAATATCTAAGAAACCTGAAGGTGTGCAAGTCCATGGGACCTGATGAGATGCATCTGCTCGTTCCGAGGGAACTGGCTGAGGAAGTGGCTAGGCCACTATCCATCATATCTGAGAAGTCATGGCAGTCCACTGAAGTTCCCACTGACTGGAAAAAGGGAAACATAACCCTCACTTTTAAAAACAGAAATAAGGAAGACACGGGGAACTACAGCTCTCTTACTCTCACCTCAGGTCCTGGCAAGACCATGGAGAAGATCGTCCTGGAAACTTTGCTAGGGCACATGGAAAACAGGGAGGTGAATGGTGACAGCTTCACTAAGGGCAAATCATGTCTGACAAATCTGGTGGCCTTCTAAGACAGGGTCTATTATTGCTACTGTCAACCATGTTCAAAATCTTGTAATAAAGAACTAGTTTTTATATTTCCTCCAGTGTAGGTCTTATACTTGTGCCAGAAAATACATATAATCCTTATGAATAAATAATATGTCACACAAAATATATGCTGAATATTTACAACAAATTTCAATATTACTCTCAACACCCACTGGTCTCTCTCCCTTATTCACCCAGAACAGAATTCTCAGGTTGGACAGAATACATAATGGATGTTAAAAATCCAGGTGGCACAAGGAAAGGGTGCCATCATCATTGTGTCATGCTAGAATGGAAGAGCTCTCTTCCAAAATGAAAAGGACATAAAAAGATAACTTTAAACAAGAACCCTGTTGCAGTTTGACAAAATCACAAACAACTGGAAATAGAGTTATCTAAAGGACAAAGACTGGCAAATTTTATAATTGGCCCTGTTACCATTTTTAGCTAATACACTCCAGAATTTTCAGGAACATATTACATAATGATAAATTTTCTGTCAGTGTAATGGCTTGGAAGATCTTCACCATTAACGTGCAGCCAAAATGTCATTCCACAGTATGCTGTCACATTATAACATTGACCTAATTTGTCCCTCGTATTGTATGCTCAACATAAAATCAGAAATCATGAAAAAAAGGTACTTTCTTGTCTCACAGGTATTTCAAATAATTTTAAATAGTATTTTATTACCAGTGTTCCCAAACTAGAAGCATATTAAGGGGATGAAAAAGGAGAATCAGAAAGATAGATTTAACTTGTTTAAAACTTGTAGCTCATTTCTGGGCACTCACTTGGTGCCAATAAACTTTTTTATTTAAAACAAATATCCAGGTGTTTATTTTTAACAATCTTAAGTTACTTAGTTTGTATTCTTAAAAAAATTTATTTGCTCTAAAAAATTTGAACATTTTATATACTGTACTTCCATATTTTACTCTTAATGTATTCTCCTTTTCCTCCACCACGAAGCCCACGCCAAATAAAGCGTTAAAATTCTTCCAGGCAAATATGCATATGCCTCACGTGAACATCTCTTACCTTGGTTTCATATTATTCATAACAAAAAGGCACTAATTGAATCCTTCCGTTATTATTGAGAACATGAACAGTTACCGCACTTCATTTTTTAATCACAAATAGAAACAAGCTGTCATCATATTCTTTTTAAGGAATGTAAGTTCTGGACATTTTTAGAACACTAAGAACTCTCAGGTGACGCTAAGATCTCAGATGACAACTCATGTAACTCTAGTAGTACTTTACTTAATATCTAGTATACATATGCTTCAATTCTAGGACAAATTTAAGTATGAAAACATCATGGAGTAACTGTAAAAAATGTGGAAAATATATTTCAGAGAATTTGAGGAAAATCAATAGACAAGAAGATAAATATTTCAGGAAGTTATATACTTAGCATAAATCAAATTGAAAAGGTTCCCACCTTTAGAGTATGTTTCTGTGCTCTCCTGGTTGATGGAGTATTGCTAAACTGTGGTCTGAGTCATAAGCTGTCTGAACAGAAATGTCTTAGGAATGTTTTGCTCATGCTGTTTGCTCCACAAGGAATTAATTAACTTCATTAGCAAGATATTTAGATAAATTGTTACATGTATTAAAATGTTTTTACAGACTTAAATACTCAAAAATCTTGAAAGTGTACTCTCATGACTACTGTCTGCCATCAGAAAAAAAAAGTAATCTACTATTCTCTCCAGAAACCAAGTAAGGAAAACAAAAAACATTGACAAATGGAAATAATAAAACATCTAGAAAATATATTAGGGCATCAGATGTGACAGTTAATGTTTGGCAACTCCTTGAGAAATGAGAGAGAATAAAAGACAAAAGTTCAACAGAACTTTTCTTTTTCTTGATCTAACGGTGCTTAAAGAAGGTACAAATTCAATGCAACAAAACCATAACCAGTCACAGAAAAATGTTACAAGTCACTTACAGGAACCAGGAATTTTTTTATTTCTTCCAAGGCATGACTCATACGAGAATACGCCTCCCCAGGCGGAGCAAAAACTTCAATTAATACGTGGAGCTCATCACTCAAGTGCGCGTATTTGGCTTCTCCACTTTTCCTTAGTTCTTCCTCCTACAAAAAAAGGGTAGGTTTGTTTTTAGAACTGAAAATGTACTAATTTTGCAGTGATTTAGAATTTACAGAGAATATGACAGAAGGACATAATATAAGCAATCTTTTAAACCCTTTGAGAAATAAAAGTCTAGTACAAGCCACTTAAAGATTTAAAAATCAATTTTGAGCGTTTGAATGATAAAACCAGCATAATTACCATCTACAACAGATTTTAATCAGCACATGCTAAATACTCCAAAAGCAAGTAGTGACATATTAAATCCATTATTGAAAAGCTGCATTCATCTATCCGAATCTTAGCTCTTAACAAAAAATAAAAAATAAAGATCCATTTAACCATTTTGGAACACTTTAACAAATGCTATGGTTTTGTAATGTCTTTAGGTTCTTTAATGCATTTCTGCAGCCTGTACATTTCAGTATCGCTAAAGGAAAATATGCCCTAGTACTTCTGTTTGAGACACAGAATCACAGGATGGTTTGGGTGTGAAGGGACCTTAAAGACCATCTGGTTCCAGCCTCCCTGCCACGGACATGGACACCTTCCACTAGACCAGGTTGCTCAGGGCCCCATCCAACCTGGCCTTGAATACTTCCAGGGATGGGGCATTGCTAACTTCTCTGAGCTACTTGTTCCAGTGTCTCACCATCCTAATAGTGAAGAACCTTTTCCTAATATCTAATCTAAACTTACTCTCAGTTTAAAGCCACCATTCCTTGTCCCTTCAGTATATGCCCTTGTAAAAAGTCTCTCTCCGGCTTTCTTGTAGCGTCCTTCAGGTACCGGAATGCTGACCTAAGTTCATCCTGAGCCTTCTCTTTTCCAGGCTGAACAACCCAAATTCTCTTCATAGCAGAGGCCTCCAGTACTGATCATCTTTGAGGTCCTCCTTTGGACTTGCTCCAACAGGTCCATGAGCTTCTTATATTGGGGTCCCCAGAGGTGCACTCAGTACTCAATGATGTCTGAGTTTCAGTCCCAGTTCTGATACAGAGTAGCTATGCAACCCAGTGTGCATCAGTTAAGATGGCAAATCACCTCACCTAGATTTATCTCAACCATCTTTGAGTCCCAAGGTCCCAGTTTTCCAGATATAAAACAAGTCTAACAATCCTAATTCATGTTAGAGTAATGTTCTGAAACATCAATCCACTTTCTTACACAAAGCTTTGAGATAGCAAATGCAAATTGCAATACAAATGCATGGTAGTAACCACTTCATAAAAAGCAAAGATATAAAATAGTGTTTATGATAATGGCACTGGCTATGACAACAAAATGAAAAATTTATGACATTACTACACAAGAAAGACATAAGTAATGCTAAAGATATGACGAGTTGAAATCTCAGTCTTCAAAAATATTTTGAGAAATGTAATTTAGAAGAAAATATGTAGATATAGAAAATATAGTCAAAGAAAGAAGTAAACTAATTTACTGGAAATTGGTGAAGTTACAGCTTTCTAGTACATACTAAAATAATAGTTTATGTACACTTAGCTAAAATATAAAAATTGTAACAACAGATTACAATTCTTACTGACTTAGCCTATTTAATTCTGCATTAACTTCACTTAATTTAGCCTTGAATACCTTACACCATTTCTTGACACCAAAAATATTTGCATGATGCTATGCTTCTAACAATAGGCATATAGTTCTTTTTATCCACAGTAGAAGATCCAGCACCAATGATTTTTTGATTTTTCACAGAATACACAAGGATAACATTCCTTTAATGAATTTCTGCAGCCTGTACATTTTAGCTCCAGAGTCCTAGACCTGACTCCAGACTAAGTCAATGTTTTGCAGATGACGATAAAATCATAACTCAATAAATGTGACCTATGATTTTATTTTTAAAAGTTGAAAATTGACCTAATTGTTTTCAACTGAAACTTAAAAATTAAGATAAGCAGCACAGATGGCAGAGTATTTTTATTTTTACAGTTAAAGTATCTTTGGCATTTTAGCTTATTATCCAAATGTCCATAAGAACCATAGCATAATATAAGAATCCATCACGATATGTTACAATACTTTTCAGTTTTCTGGAAAAAATCCCCACACATTTGATTGTTGCTTTCCGAATTATATGACATAAAGTATTTCAAAAGAATTAAGTTTTAGTAGTTATAAAGTGACATCCTAGAAATTGCTGGAATTTTCTTTCATTGCTTTTTTAAAATTCTGGGAAAAAAAACAAAACACCAGGAAGCCCCAGAAGCTGTCTTTCAGGAGAAGACTGCCAATAAACTTTGTAAAAACTATATACTGGATCATTTTTCAAATGTAGGAAAAATAAAAAATAATGTTTGGCTCATTATTTTAATGAGGATTTTACACAGCTAAGACATCAGTAACATGATTTGATAACACAGACCTGTCTTACAGAAAGTTAGGTATATGCTTCTACAGTGGTAACAATAATTATTATGTTTCTCTTTTATTTCCTCAAAAAAACCCAGGAATTCTTAAAATACATCATTTTATAACCTGCCTCCTTGGATCAGCACATGCTTTCTGTCACTATTTGGCAGTCATTTCTGTAGGAAATGACTGCTTCTATTTAGGATGAAAGTACTGCCCCTTCTCTAGCATTGCAGTTGGTTTTGCTTCCTGCTAGTTGTAGCCTTGCTGCACAAACTAAGTTTGCATTAGAAGCCACAGAGCCTTCCTGGAGCTCAGCTTTGGTTTAGCTTCCTAGGAGAGGAGTCCTATAAGCTCTGCTCACTATATGTAATGGGAATTGGGAACGATCAGGAGACTCTCCTCTAAACTGTGCTTCTGAGTTAAACTAAAACACTAACGAATAAACACCCCATGTAGCCCTGGTAAGGACTGAGATGGGTTATGAGACTTTCTAGCACATGGTACATTAAGGCGGAATAGGTGAGATCATCATAAATCTATTTTATATGTGTTCTTTACAAGGCTATCTGAATGCTGATGGCCTTGCAAGGCCCTGACAGTCTCTAATGCACCAGTGCAATTACCTGAGGACTTTGGCTGTTTCTTGTATAATTTCGCCTTAACCACCTGTGAGGTCCAGGTATTCTCTGTGGCGCTGTCTGTAAGTTTTGTCAGAGTCTCATAGCTTTTTATGTTCCATGATTCCCCACATCATGTCCAGCAGTTTTCTAGACTCTGTTCAGCTTGCACAGCCTTGGCCAGGGTCTACCCAGCAGCCAAGTTGTTTGCCCACAGCCCAAGCACAGAAATTATAACTGCTTAAGCCTACTCATGTAGACATGAACCAAATCACAGTGAAGGGTGACTTGTATTGAAAGACTGATGGATTCACTGTAGAGAACAACCCTGAAAACAATGAAAATGCAGTTAAGCCTTAGGCACTGGATCTTAAGGTAGAAAAAAACAAACCTGGGACCTAATCAGTTCTAATTTATAAAATGAATGGAATAAATTTCCTGGGATTCTCTATCAGTGATGGCAATTGCTCTTAGTACTCATTCTCAGGTTAACAGTATGGTTCTTATTTAGTTCATTGGTGATGAAGTTTAACTTCACTACAGGTTGAGCACATCACCCTCCAGAGACAACTGCTCCCTCATCCTGATCCTCTTCTGCTTCCTTCTGCATGCCAATTCCCTTCACTTCTCAAGACTGAAAGAACCCAGCTCCACCCACATTATTTGCTTCAGGCTTCCTTCACCCTTACTTGCTGCCTTACAGCATGTCTGTCACATGGTGTTCAAGTCCATCCACGCTCCACCCGGTGCATGGCTCCACAACCCACTCCTTCATAAAAGGTAACAGGTATTTTGAAATACCTGTTGTGTTTTATAATTTTCAGTTGCCCAAAGCAGGGAAAATGAATTATAAAACTCTAAAGCAGAAATATCAGGAGTACCAATGTCTGCAAAAGTGAAGCTTGTAACTGATAAGAACATAAAGGCCAAGAAAAATGATGAATTATGTCTGCATATGAAAGCAGTCTTACCACTTAAAAGAAAAAAAATATGTTGACAGAGAATGACACTCTGTCTGGAATCTTGGTCAAAATGCTTGAATAAAAACACTGGAATAAAGTTGAAAGAAGAAATGGAGTTTGCATGGCAAACAAAGTTACACAGTCCAGATTGATGAATAAAATAACAATAAAATAACAAGATATCAAAGAATAATAGAAAAGAAACTTGCAACAGGAATTGTGTAGATCTCAGAGATAAATTTCATCAATGCAATACACAGAACTTCCTATAATATAACAAATACAGCTACGAAAAGAAATCATGTGTACTTGAAGAACAATAAGAGATTGTGGATTTGCAGTGGATTTGCAATGTTGCAAGAAATTTGCAAAGAAAAGCATAGTGCAGAGACTAGACAAAGATGATAATCACAGTGCTGCTGCTACACAGGCATTATTCATAAGATCAATGGGCAGTCCTACAGAATAAAATTAATGAACACGCAGTTTGACAATTGCAAACCTATTTATTTTTCATCTGGACACAAATGAAAAAATCAAGACGTTGTCTGCTACACTGTAGTAAAAGTAACAGTGAACTACAGGATAACAAGTAAATCAGAATAGATATAATTTCTTGGTGGTACTGGTTTGGATTTAAAAAAACTTTCAAGTCCTAGGAACAGAGAACAAAAGAGAGGAAAAATTCGATAACGAATGAAGCATTGGAATGGTATTCAGCAGAGTACAGAGTGAAGCTAAAAGACTCTTAGCTGTTCCTTGACTTTTATTTTTAAACCATGTATTTTCACTCCAGGAAGAAAATAAAGATGGAGGTGGTGAGTACATGAGGAGAGCTCACACAGCAGAGCAAAGAGAGTGCATGTACAATACCTGCAATAAGCCACAGAGACCCCACAATGAAATACAGGTATGTAGAAAGAACATTTCTTACAAGAGAGGAAACTACTGAAGATACAGGTGACAACAATTATTTTTCTATATTTGCTGCATCATTAAAATTTTCATAGTTCCTTTGGTGAAATGAAGCAGAGAATTGTGTAC